AAGTTATTTTTTAACGAATCCAATTTATCTATGCTTCACTAGTTAACAGAGGGAGAGAGAACTGCTATTTTGTTGTGTCATATGTATTATATGGTTCCATTACATTTGAACCCACGTACATTTGAACCCATGACAATTGCACCTGTATGCTATTGCACCTATGGAATTTTTTTGTTTTACGGATAGATAAACTCATACTAACCCTAACCCATGGCTTTTAGCACCCGCATATAGATTGAACCCGTTGATATACGCATGGGTTCAAATGTACATGGGTTCAAATGTACGGTCACCATATTATATATATGTTTATTGCGATAATTTGACACCCAACGTTAACTGCCCCGCCGATATATTATCAAAATTTCAAATAGGGCGTAGAAAGACGAGGGGAAATAATGTTTTCTTCAAACTAAAACGAGCCTTTACGAGACCGGTATAGAATGTACGGCTCATTTACTTTAAATCTGAATTCAACATCATTCCGTGGATGCTTTACTTTGCCCGTTTGCGTAGAATATATCGTTCTCAAAATGTATGAATTTTTCAAATTTACACTGTTCAAGTAACAGAGCAGGCATCAATTTTGTCAATATGAGTACAACTATTGCAGTATGGCAACCGCAGGTGTCTTTCTCTCTTATGTCGATTCTCGAAATGTTAAAATAATTGAAAAGTTACTCTAGCCCTCAAGAATATCCTGCTTTCATAAAAAATGTTTTGCGATCCCGCGTATGAATTAAATTATAGCTAATTTGGTAACCGGTATCTATTTGCAAAGATATGATATAAGTTGCAGATATGATTTTAGCCTCAGAATCGAACCAAAGTTTGTCCGATCCGCACTGTCCCGGTTTATTGTGCCAGATATATGGTATTGGTAAGCCTAAATATGTATGAATTATGGAACACGTTAATTTAATCCAGATTTATGAAATGCAATTATCTTATCATCATCAACACAATATTAGGAAATGCGGAATAGACTTCTGCATTGGATAGCATAGTAAGTGGCGATAGTGCGCCGTATAAGACTATAAAGTTGCGACATCGTTCTGAAGTCTGGCAAAACTCAACACCAGTTATCTTGTAAAACGCTTTAGATAACAAAAATATTTTCGCGTTCACTGACGGTATCTTCAAATGATGCAGGAGTTCTATTACCAAGCAATGAAAAGTCCAAGGGTGTATTGGATATATACGACAATGTTACGTTTTTCCCTAGTTTTCTAAGAATCATTGAGCAAAAGCCTGGACACGTGTCCAGATGAGCTTTCACGTAAATCAATCGCTATTTCCGCCAACTAGTCATGTATACTCTGCTGAAGTATTTATTTCACTATCTAGTTCGCTAACATTGTCCCACTCGATATTGGCTATATGCTGTAGCATTTAATTAAAATGTTAGTTTCGGGTGTTCATTTGCTTCAAACCTTCTTGAAGCGAATCGAAATTTCATTTCGTTTATTTGTATTTGCATGGCAAACTATAAAAATAATAGTTG